AAAAAAAAAAAAAAAAAAAAAAAAAAAAAAAAAAAAAAAAAAAAAAAAAAAAAAAAACAGATTTGTCCAAAAAGTACAAAAACTCTATTTGCCACACACATACACACTAGTCGTATTTATTCATTTCTTTAATTCAATTATTTCCTTAACAAAAGTTGTTTTGAATTACTTTAAAAATAATGCCCGACATAAGGGCAGACAGGGTTGTAGGCCCCTTGGCTTCAAATATATTTATATAATGACCATATGCCAATGCCCCATACTTTGAACGTTTGGTTGCAGTTAAGTTTAGTTAGTGCAATATCGTTCGAGTCGAGGTGCGGGGCGCAGATGTTCGCGCACACCGGACAGTACCACGGTGTCGTCGTGCGCATCAAAGAACTCAAGTTCTCGCGGAAAAAGGACATCTCGCGGGACGTGATGAAGGAGATGCGGATGCTGCGCGACGTGCGCCACACCAACATCAACTCGTTCATCGGGGCCGTCGTCGAGCCCATGAGGGTGCTCCTCGTTACCGATTACTGTGCCAAAGGAAGTCTCTACGTGAGTATACACAATACATTGTATATGCTTTGAGTGACCCTCCCCACCCTCACCCCAACTTTTTTTCGTAACGATTTTTGATTGGGTTTCACCAAAGGACATCATCGAAAACGAAGACATAAAGCTGGACGACATGTTCATCTCATCCTTACTCAATGATCTCATCAAGGTGAGCTGACGCTATATGCCAAGTTTAATTTGGAGGAAAAAAAGAAAATACCCAAACTGCCCTCTTTTCGCAGGGCATGCTGTACATTCACGAGTCGACCCAGCTCCAGTACCACGGCAATCTCAAGTCGTCGAATTGCGTGGTAACGTCGCGCTGGGTGCTTCAGGTCTCCGACTTTGGGCTCCTCGACATGCGCCAGAGCGCCGAATCCGACAGCATCGGCGAACACGAGTATTACCGAAGTACGTCGTCATTTGTACTTTCCTGCTGGTGGTGATGTTGTACAATATAACGCTGGTGCGTTTGTTTTTTTTTTTTCAGATTTGTTTTGGAAGGCGCCGGAACTGCTGAGGGAACCGAGCAATTTGGTGAAGGGACACCAGCTGGCCGACATATACGCGTTTGGTATCATACTGTTTGAAATGCTGGGCAGAAAGGGGCCCTACGGTGGCTACCATTTGGAGCCCAAAGGTTGAGAAATTGGTTGTTTCATCCCAAAAGTAAATAAAAAAGAAAAAAACCAACCCTGTGTTTGGCGCTGTTTCAGAAATCATAGAGCGAGTGAAAAGGCTGCCGGAGGAGAACGAGGCGCCGTTCAGGCCAAAGATCGACCTGCTCTGCGATTCGGAGATGGAGTGCGCGGACTACCTCGTCAACATAATAACCGACTGCTGGGCCGAGGCGCCGGAGCTCAGGCCAGATTTCAAGAACATAAGGGAGCGCATGAAGAAGATCAACGGGTTCAAGAGCCGCAACATCATGGACCAGATGATGGACATGATGGAGAAGTACGCCAACAATCTCGAGGACGTAGTTGGCGAGCGGACGCGCTTACTTTACGAGGAGAAGCTCAAGACCGAGGACCTCTATCAACCACACCCAAGTTTAAAAAAAAAAAAAAAAAAAACTTTTTAGAGCGAAAAATAAACATTTGAAACCTGACCGCATATTTCAGTACGTGTCCATCTACGCAGCCTACCTGTACGACTCGGTGAAGCTGTACGCCAGGGCCCTGGACCTCCTCCTGCGCGAAAACCCAGACCTCAGTGTCATCGAAATCGCCAGCAACGGCACCCTCATCATCGAAACCATCATCAAGAAGCACATTTATCAAAGTAATCACGCACACCCTTTACTCTCTCCCATATATACCCACCAATGATCCAATGATGATCGTCTGACACAAAGGATCTTTGCCGGCGCTCCGTATATATACGTGTTATTGCCCGTCGGGTTCTTTATCTTTTGCACTTTATTTTTTTTTTTTTTTTTTTTTTTTTTTTTTTTTTTTNAAAAAAAAAAAAAAAAAAAAAAAAAAAAAAAAAAAAAAAAAAAAAAAAAAAAAAAAAAAAAAAAAAAAAAAAAAAATAGGTATAAGCGGCGCGACGATAAAGCTCGACAAGAACGGGGACTCGGAGGGCAACTTTTCGGTACTGGCTCTGAGGAAGGATCCCTTCACCATACAAAACTTCTCCTGCGACTTTCAAATGAAGCCCGTCGGCCAGTTCCACCAGGGCGACACTCTGGTCGGTACCACCTCCACCACCACCACCACCACAAATAAATATGTAAATATGACGTGTTACCCGATCCCACAGGCGTACCGTCCGTCGGAGGCGATAGACTGGCCGGGGAAGAACAAGCCGGAGGCCGAGCCCGGGTGCGGCTTCCGGAACGAGCACTGCCCGAAGAACGACTCGCACGTCAGGAGCATCGTCACCGCGGGCGTACTGGCCGTCATACTGTTCTGCGCGAGCGTCGTCACCATGAGCATATACCGCAGGTGGAAGATCGAGCAGGAGATCGAGGGCCTGCTCTGGAAGATCAGTCCCAACGATATACACGGGTATCCCCTGCTGGACAACATGATGTCCTCCCCTAGTAAGGTAGGCGCTACGTCTTTCGCTCCGACTTTATTTTAAGTGTATAGGTCGGCTACCCTCCGTGTATATAGTTTCGACCTATGTTCAGTAAAAGGTGGATCACCACTGGTTTTTTTCTTCAATAAAATCATCGTCAATTATGCCACTTGAATCTTGTAAGCAGACTTTTAGCATTGCAAAAAGAGACCTGAAATTTAACAAAGTGACGTACACAGTAGGTTGAGATACTTTTAAAATGGCACACCTTTCATTTCTATCACTTTGGTGGATTAATTGTAATTACGTTTCACGCGAAAACTTTTGGAGTTGTAATTTACGAAAACAGGCGTTTCCAAATTACTATTGCTCATTCACAATACGTGCAAAGTGAAAGTTAAATGTGTCGGAAAAATGGCACACGCCAAATTTTTTTCCCCTTGAATGTGATGACATTTGCAACTTGCATATCCCAAGCCCCAAAATTTTTCGAGTATGACAAAATACAAGATGTGTTTTTGTGTCCCAAAAAAACGGCCCCGTACATGCTCCCTGTACAATAGACTAAAAAAAAAAAAAAAAAAAAAACAGATTTGTCCAAAAAGTACAAAAACTCTATTTGCCACACACATACACACTAGTCGTATTTATTCATTTCTTTAATTCAATTATTTCCTTAACAAAAGTTGTTTTGAATTACTTTAAAAATAATGCCCGACATAAGGGCAGACAGGGTTGTAGGCCCCTTGGCTTCAAATATATTTATATAATGACCATATGCCAATGCCCCATACTTTGAACGTTTGGTTGCAGTTAAGTTTAGTTAGTGCAATATCGTTCGAGTCGAGGTGCGGGGCGCAGATGTTCGCGCACACCGGACAGTACCACGGTGTCGTCGTGCGCATCAAAGAACTCAAGTTCTCGCGGAAAAAGGACATCTCGCGGGACGTGATGAAGGAGATGCGGATGCTGCGCGACGTGCGCCACACCAACATCAACTCGTTCATCGGGGCCGTCGTCGAGCCCATGAGGGTGCTCCTCGTTACCGATTACTGTGCCAAAGGAAGTCTCTACGTGAGTATACACAATACATTGTATATGCTTTGAGTGACCCTCCCCACCCTCACCCCAACTTTTTTTCGTAACGATTTTTGATTGGGTTTCACCAAAGGACATCATCGAAAACGAAGACATAAAGCTGGACGACATGTTCATCTCATCCTTACTCAATGATCTCATCAAGGTGAGCTGACGCTATATGCCAAGTTTAATTTGGAGGAAAAAAAGAAAATACCCAAACTGCCCTCTTTTCGCAGGGCATGCTGTACATTCACGAGTCGACCCAGCTCCAGTACCACGGCAATCTCAAGTCGTCGAATTGCGTGGTAACGTCGCGCTGGGTGCTTCAGGTCTCCGACTTTGGGCTCCTCGACATGCGCCAGAGCGCCGAATCCGACAGCATCGGCGAACACGAGTATTACCGAAGTACGTCGTCATTTGTACTTTCCTGCTGGTGGTGATGTTGTACAATATAACGCTGGTGCGTTTGTTTTTTTTTTTTCAGATTTGTTTTGGAAGGCGCCGGAACTGCTGAGGGAACCGAGCAATTTGGTGAAGGGACACCAGCTGGCCGACATATACGCGTTTGGTATCATACTGTTTGAAATGCTGGGCAGAAAGGGGCCCTACGGTGGCTACCATTTGGAGCCCAAAGGTTGAGAAATTGGTTGTTTCATCCCAAAAGTAAATAAAAAAGAAAAAAACCAACCCTGTGTTTGGCGCTGTTTCAGAAATCATAGAGCGAGTGAAAAGGCTGCCGGAGGAGAACGAGGCGCCGTTCAGGCCAAAGATCGACCTGCTCTGCGATTCGGAGATGGAGTGCGCGGACTACCTCGTCAACATAATAACCGACTGCTGGGCCGAGGCGCCGGAGCTCAGGCCAGATTTCAAGAACATAAGGGAGCGCATGAAGAAGATCAACGGGTTCAAGAGCCGCAACATCATGGACCAGATGATGGACATGATGGAGAAGTACGCCAACAATCTCGAGGACGTAGTTGGCGAGCGGACGCGCTTACTTTACGAGGAGAAGCTCAAGACCGAGGACCTCTTGCACCGGATGTTACCCAAGTTGGTTTTTTATCTGTTTGTTTTTTTTTTTTTTTTTTTTTTTCTGGTATATGATTACAACTGTAAATTGGTAAACGTATATCAGCAAATGGCCATAACTTCAATCGGAACCATAAGTTAATCATTTTCCTCAGTTTTTGCGTGACCCAATAAATGGCCCTGTACACTGTAACATTAGGTTAACATGGAATATTACCATTTACTGGATAGTAGTTCAAGTTCACTTTGTTTCTGCGTTAGCTATAATGTTCGGACGATGAAAGTAGTATTACTTCCAACGACAGTAAATGATGATTTTTTCCTAGCAAAGGTGGCCAATTAGTGGCAAATGTCCGCAAAACGCTCGAGCTATGCTTAATAACGAGTTAATTGTTTACTCTCCGTATCCTAGACCCGTTGCCAACTGCCTGACGAACGGGACTGGCGTGGAGCCCGAAGCCTTCGACCTGGTTACCATATACTTCAGCGACATCGTTGGTTTTACAGCAATGTCGGCCGAGAGCACGCCGTTTCAGGTAAATTTTCGCGCTTGAAAAACATGTTCGCTGAAACTTGACTTGCTTCTCGTTACTCGCAGGTGGTCAATTTCCTCAACGACCTCTACACTCTGTTCGATCGGATCATCAAGGGTTACGAGGTCTACAAAGTAGAAACCATAGGGGACGCTTACATGGTGGTAAGTAGCCGATTGCGAGAGATACCTTTGGTCATAAAATTGTCACGGCTTGTCGGTTTCGCTCCAGGTTTCCGGGCTGCCGATCAAAAACGGCAACAGGCACGCCGGGGAAATCGCGTCCATGTCCCTGGAGCTGTTGAACGCCGTCAAGCACCACACGATAGCTCACCGGCCCAACGAAACGCTCAAACTGAGGATCGGAATCCACACGGGTGAGTAAGAAAGAAAATTGTCGAGTACAAACGCTCCGACAGATTCGATATTTGAATGTTTGTGATGTCGTTAGGACCCGTCGTAGCCGGCGTGGTTGGTCTGACGATGCCCAGGTATTGTCTGTTCGGCGACACCGTCAACACGGCATCGCGAATGGAGTCCAACGGCGAGCCGCTAAAGATACACATAAGCGCCCAGTGCAAGGACGCGCTCGACAAAATCGGCGGCTACATCGTCGAGGAACGAGGTCTGGTCAAGATGAAGGGCAAGGGCGAGGTCAACACCTACTGGCTGACCGGCGCGACGGAGAAGGCCATACAAAAGAGAGAGGTGCTCGACTCGTTTTTACATAATATTAACTGCCGACGGGTATTAATCGTTGCACATTGAACGAAATCCCACAGGTGAACATAAACGACCTGCCACCTCTGTTCTGCCGGCCGCGCAGGAGTCCCAAGCTGAATCCGGACTCGCGGCAAGCCTCCCTGTTGGCCGGCCTGGGAGCCGGCAGCCGGCGTCAGTCAAGCGTGCCGAGGCCGGCCGATGCCGGCGATTCGGCCTCGCAATGCGGCAACTCGAGTCCACTGCAGATGCGCACTTCCTTGCTCGCGCGCCGGCTCGAACGGACGCCCCTCTACCTGACCGAGGCTGCCTCCAAGACGACGCTCGACAACGCGATCGTGCGCGAGGACGCCGACTGCAGGGCCGCCAACATCAAGCTCGCACTCGACGATCTGTTCCTCAAATTGGACAAGTGCGTATATTATAACCCCGTTGTTTATACATCGGCTCACGGTAACATATACTCTAAACCAAAATCATGAACGCAAATTTATCTATACCCGCAGGAACGGCCTGAACCAATCCAGCAGTCCGAGGTTCCGGAAGAACGCAAAGATGATGTCGGCGCTGGGCGCGACCTCTTCATCAGCGGGTGACGATCTGGGCAACCACCACAACAATCTGCATCAGCTGCTGATGCGCGAGTCTCACTCTCTCGATCCGTTCCCCGCGGAGGCGATGATTGGCTCCAACAACAACAACAACAACAAAAACAACAATAACAACAACACAGGTGGCAGCAGCAGCAGCTTCGATGCCGCTCAGCTGATGACGAGCTCGGTGATAAGTTATCAGCCGCGCCGAGCGAGCTTCCGTTCGCTGGAGGACTGCGAGAAGTGCACGACGTCGACCCGCCGCAATTCCAAGGTTGAGGAGATGATAGACCTGACGAGCCCGAGCCCGCGCGCGTCGCACAAGCTGTTGAACAACAACCACCCGAACGGCAACCTGATACTCCCCCTGGCGGTGGCGGAGGACCGCAACAACTCGACGGCGCACGAGCACGAGGACTTCTCGGAGACGCCGCTCCTGGCGGGCGACAACTGCCTCGTGCCGGTCAAGAGGTGGAGATCGCTCGACCAGGTCGTGGTCACCGGCAGCAACAACGGCAGCGGCCATTTCGGTGGGGGCGCTGTCGTCGGGGTGGGCGGCGTCGGCTGCGTGAACGTGGCCGGCCTCGCGGACAAGAAGAGCTCGGCGCGGAACTCGATACGCAGCTGGCTGGCGAATCTGTTCAACGGCAACGGGCTGCGCAGCAGTAACGTCTCGCTGAGGCGCGCAGTCATCCCCGGGTACGACGTGCAGTCCGAGCGCGAGAGCATAGTCTAATGTATATAATATTGCGGACGTGCGGTGCTCTGGGGATGGCCGTAGCTTTTTT